CTATCAGTTTTTTTTTCCTGTGCGTGAAAAAACTGCTGACTGTGACTCACCACGATGACGACGACGAGATCGACCAGACTCAGCTGCCATCTCCAGCCGTGAAACCTGTTCGCGAAGCAGTGCAAGCTCTTCTGCATTCTTTTGGTTGGCTTCTTCCTGTGCGAGGCGTGATGATGCGACGAATCCTTGCATGCTTCGGGCATACTGCTCAGGGAGGTGTTGCAGTGCAGTGCCAACCGAGCCTCCTTGTCAACCCTGGCAAGCACGGCTGTCGAGTTTGCTGCAAATTCATGGAACATGTTACTTTGAAAGGGTGCGAACCCAAATATTGGGCATGTTGGGTCTTTGACAAACAGGACAGCAGCATCCTGTATAAGGACCCGACGGAGCCACACGAGGAGTCGCAGGAAGCCCTTCAAGGCAATATCCCGTCCTGCATGGCCGAGCATTGCCTCCCGCTGCTGCAGGGCAGAATTCTCCTGCTCGACCCATGGAAAAATCTGCGAGAGGAGCTCCACTGGAGGCTCTGGTTTCGAATCACAGGTGAGGGCAAGCTGTCAAACGGCGGACACCGGCTTACCAAGATGGTCCCGAGCTAGGAAGTACTGCTCGGGCTTCCTCGCATTGAACATGGCCGCACCAAGCAGCCCTTCGAGTGGGAGGGCACGGCAGGTCATAACAGTTGGCAAAGGCATCATTGACACTCCAGCAGCCAATGGCTTTCACATCATTGCCAGATGCCCCGTGTGCTCGTGCGGTCTTCGCTGTGAAGTGTCGGGTGGCATGCGTGGCCTTCGTCAGGCTGATATCATTCTTGCTGTGTATGAGCTTGACTCGGTCGTAGTGATCTGTGGGGGAGGTTCAATGATCCCGATTTTCATACCTAGAGCACGCAAAGAAACACCCACTGTCATACATCAGCAAACTAGCAAAACCTTGTACAGATTTGTACAGATTTGTACAAACAGCACAATCCTACAGCTAAGTGCCCTCTTTACAATATTGTCACAAAGGCTTACAATCCATACACAAAGGCACAATATTGACAGATTGGACAGACTAGACAGATTGGACAGACTAGACAATGTAGACAAACCGGACAGTGTAGACAAACCAGACATTGTAGGCAGATTGGACATTGTAGGCAGACTGGACATTGCAAGCAGACTAGATTATTGTAGACAGATCAAACATGTTGTGCAAACGACATTGTAACGGCGCAAAAAAATATACTAAATGATGATATTGATATCATCACTGCCCGCTGCACTGTCCCAGTCATTGCGAAGTTCACCCATCATCCCCTCCTCGGCCCATTCCTTCAGCATCTCTTCAAGCTCCGCGCGACGTTCGGGAATGGTCATCAATTTGTCGACAGACTTTTGCAGTAAGTTGAAGTCGGCCCTGCACGTATCAGCAGTAAGGTCAGGCACCTTGTCAGTACCACTGTCGCGGAAGCCGGTGAGAACACCCTTCGTCTGTAAAACATTGATCAGCGAGGAATATAAAATTGATTAAATCAAAGCCTACAACTGCGGCCACCAGAATAAGGCCATTGACAGGAATTCCGTCTTGAAATTCGTCAGTTACCTTGAGCGCTTTTTTACCGTTACCGTAGTAAAAACTGAGGCAGGCTTCCTTGAGAACCTGCGACACAAAATTGGTATATTTTCCCTGTAAACGTCAATAATGAATTGTCGCGCACCACGAGGTTGCCACTGACCTCAGAAGAGTCGGGAAGCCGAAGATATTCACCGGTCTTGAGGAGCTTAGCCGCTGCTGCACTGACGCGCTCCTTGTGCACTGAGTTGCCCTTCGAGAATATGCCGTATGATTGCTTCGCAATAGATATTACAATTTTCTTGAGTTCCGTGCGAAAGGTGAACAGGTCGTCACAAAGCTGTTGAATCATCAGCGAAGTTCGTGTTTGGGCGCTGTACTTACTAGTCGCGACATCGGTACTTTATACTCTGGGAAATAACCTTCGCAAGGACATCAGATTGGAGCGACTTCTGACGGTGCAGGGCAACTTACCTTTGTCAAGCTTCACCTTCTTCGTGTGGTATGTCCATAATACAGCACCCAAAACCTCTTGTGCCAGTATTACCGCTTCCTGATGAACTGGAAGAGGATGCAATAAAATTGCCTGCAACCGCATTTCCAACTTTGCTGCCTGCAGGAAGGCCTGCCAAGATGCTGGATAGAAGCCGAGCTTCGAGGGGTTAGCTTGTTGGTTGGCGCACCGCGCACCGCCTCCAGATTTGCTGCGTTGAACAGGTGAGGGACTTCGAGAGTGAGATCGGCTTGAACTAGGAGCGGGAGAAGGTGTTCGATCTGGCTGAGCAGAATGCCTGGGCAGAGACTGTGACGAAGACCGTCCACGAGAGGAGGGCAGTTTGCTGGAAGAAACCATAGACTGAGTTGGAGAGCGCCGACGAGGAGACAGTTTGCGAAAGGAGGAAGGACGAGGGGACTTTGAACGAGAAACAGAGAAGTGTGCAGGTGGACGCCCCGGCCGCACACGGGTCGATGCAGTTTTTTCAGATGGTACTCTGTGAGGCGCGCGTCCAGGGGCCAAGCGCCCAGAAGAGGACGAAGTGCGTACTCGTTCGAGGGAGGGGCGACGAGATCCCTAATACAACGAATTAAAAACAACAAACCCAGGAGAGGAAGAAGTGCGTACTCGTTCGAGGGAGGGGCGACGAGATCCCTAATGCAACGAATTAAAAACAACAAACCCAAAGTCACAAGAACTTACAAGGCTGGGTGAATGCTGACGAGACCTCGAGCCAGTTTCACGTGGACGGGCGGACCCTTGTTTGCGAGAAGACTGAGGCGCATATCAGTAATCGTGCATAATTACCAAAATGGAACACATGCGCGTGCTAAATGAGTCGGGGAGGGAGCTTTGCGTCGTCCATTTTTCGTTTGATGGCGTTCAAGGACATCGAAAGTGTCTGTGGCTTCATGATGAGTATCATTGCCCGAGTCTCGGCTGTCAAAATCCCCCTGGTCGGGATCCATCTGAGTATCGCCATCTTCATCGCCTTCATTGTCTTCATCGCCGCATAAAGCCATGCGGTCGACTGAAGCCCTTGAACGGACAATAAGGAATTAAAATGTGAGGGAAAGATACAAGGTACGACTTACTCCCGCGTATCCCGCAACAAACTATCTTCATCTTCGCTGGGTCGATCATTGTGATCATGTTCATCGGCGTCATTCTCTAACTCGTCATTCTCTAACTCATCACGTTCATCCAAGTCCCACATTCTATCCTTCCTCGCCTCATCTTCTACGGATTCGCCTACGGCTTTCTTGGAGCTGCGACCGATGGGCTGAGTTGCCTCCCGAGGATCCTGTTTGTCAGTGGAAGATGACTTGAATCCAAACCTATCATCAGGGCCGGCCATGCGTAGAAACGGATTACGACGTTGAGTGTTTGATTGTGAGTCGTCGTCTTCAACAGGACGAGGCAGGAAATTCGTATCAGCCTAAAAGAATATTAGTTGAGCTACTTTGAAAAGAATCACTTACCTTTTTCTTCCCTTTCTTGAGCTGCTGCGAAGGTGCCATGGGATTGACTTCTGAGTCACTTATTTCGACAGCGCCTCTTCCCTTCCGTTGCCTTGCTGGGGCCATCAAGATCTCTCCAGCTTTTTTGAGCTGTGCTACATGACCACCAACACCTCGTGTGGACCGTTCGCTTCGCCGTCGAGAATCGTCAACGTCTTCGGGTGCCGTGCTGGCGACCTTCCTCGTCCTCGAATTGCGGGGACTCAAGGACCGCGAGGGAGAAGCACGCCTGGCTTTCTTCCTAGGAGGCATGGAGTGAACTTCAAGGACGAAGTTCAAAGTTGGACTATCCCGAAATATAACAGAGGAACTTACGTAAGCTAGGAACATTTTGTACATAGTGCTACATTCAATGAAGAATATGGAGGACGAAGCACAGGTGGAAGATGAAGGAAAAATACTACGGAAATACGGAATTTAGGTAGAGGTGTAACGAAGTAATAAACGAGATAATATGAGATATCGGACTCGGATGCAGTGCGTTCTACAGATGCTACACAACAAGGGAAGCCCCGAACCAGTCAATTAGCGTTTGACAGGTGCCGTCTTTGACCGACGAGACCGACGAACAGCGACGGAAATATCAGGAGGCAATGGAGCGATGGTTGATTCCGGCGCAGATGGAGGTGCAGGAGGACGCGATAGAGCGATGGTTGGTTCTGGTGTAGATAGAGGTGCTGGAAGTGCAGGAGGAGGTATCTGAGAAAGTTGCTGACTGATCATGCTTAAGCCCCGCGTTAGAATATCGCATATTGTATCGTGAGACATGGCAGTTGACTGAGAACTTGCGAGAGAAATTGCGCAACGCCACTCTTCAAGGAGGGGCGGCAGAGGATAAAGTACGGGGTGATTAAGGGTGGGTCAGCCAGACCATTGATGAATTCCCGCTTCCAAATCTGCTGTCGCGAGACCATCTTGGGTCATGTTTTCATAGGAGACCGCCACCTCCGAACGGCGTCCCGTCGCAAAGCTTCTGGACTGGGTTGGGGGGGCCAGTACGCCCTTCGGTCCTAGATATATCATGGTAAACTCGAGCAGGATGTAAAAAAGCGACTCGAGATCGTCGCAGGGCATATGTTGGACCAAATGGCCATCTCCCATTAGGCGGAGAACGCGAAAAGATATGTAGGGTACAGTTCCCTGTAAACCATGAGGTTAACACAAGCAGAAATAAGTGCAACGTTGTAACTCACAGTACCGCGTGGACTCGGATCTGCTTTCCCATCATCATTGAGAAACTTTGCATGGTCAAAGTCAATAAAATAGCCTTTTCCTTGGTAAATAATAGCATTATTAGGGCTGAGATCTCCGTGAAGGACACGTCGGCCCACCATTGCCTTGTGGGCTACAATGCATGGTGATTACAGAGGACTTCAGTGATTGCAAAAAGGACTCACCAACACAAGATCACGAAAAACCCCGATTAACTCGGGGTACATCGTTGAAGTGAGTCAATGGCACCCCGCAGGGTGTCAAGAGAATACGCCGATGGATTTTTGTCTCGAATTTGAATGTCGAGCAATGACTACGAATGCGTGAAGTGGAGTCGGGCTTCCCATCATAAAGTACGTCCCAATATTTCTTGAGTTGAACAACGTTCGGGATGCCTTCGACCGCTTTGAGAAGTTGTATCTCGACGTCTTTGACATCCTCGTTGACCCAACAATCTTGAGTGCGTACTCCTGATTAAACTGATCTCGAACGCGATAGCAGACGGTTCCCGCGCTTGAACAGACCGCGGCTCTTCCATAGTATATCCATAATCCAGTATACATTCTCATCGTTGTCGTAAACCCAGCCTATTGCCCCAGGAAGCATGGCATCAAAGCCATTCGGTAAATCAGCGTGAGTTGGAATGGTGTTACAAGAGTTTGCAGATATGGATTGTTGGATCAAAGCCGAGGGAAGAGCGATTTCCTAAAGTGACGGTAATTCAACACGTCGACAAAACGTTCAGGGGATGTAACGATCGGGAGTGGTTTTGAGATCACCATGCCGGAGCGATCCATATAATGGGCACGAAGTTTGAACTTGGAGATACTAAAAAGTAGGATGAAACGACGCCATGGTTGCTCCCAGCATCATCAGATAGCCCTTGGTAGCAACCCCCCAAGAACAAAGGTATTTTGCGATCAACAGAGAGGTCAGATTGGGTAATCTCAACTCCTGTGAGGACATCTTTCCAGGACTTTTGCGAGAAGCCGAGCTTTCTGAGCCGGTAATCCAGGAGGACGAGATCAGGCTTCCGTGAATCGGTAGCGTCTGGCATGGAAGTGGTGGCGAACTCTGAAGACCAGTACCGGAGATCTGTTATTTCGGTGAAGGGCAAAATGTGCGAGCGCTGGATTCCCGAGCGTTGCGATGACGAGTGCTGTGGATCCATCAACATTGCGCTCTTGGACTTGCTCCTTGAGCAGTTCGCGCATGTGATAAGTATATCGCCCGGAAAAGACGCTCCCAATTCTTTTCCTCCGTTTCTCCTACAGGCTTAGCTCTTTTCGTTCCAGCCTTGACGAAATCCTGCTGCCCCAAGCTGCCCTCCGTCTCTAGCATGGAATCCCCTTCAAGTTCTATGGTCTGTAATCAGTCTGCGACTCAGTCTGAGGCCGCCTGAAACGGGTACGCCTAACTGCAACCTTGCGTTTACTTCGGAAAGCATTTTTGAGTCGCCATTCCTTGTCAAAAACGGGAGCCCCATGTATCTGAGTTTGGCTTCCCGGTACTTGTTTGATGTAAGTGATCCTCTTGATTTCCGATTTGTTGAGATTTGAAAGAGGAATGAGGAATTTAAGGATGGAGGTCTTAGGCTTCAGGTCCTCCTCCCACAGAACCCGGGGGGTCTTGGTCTTGCAGGCCCAACTCACTCTTCATGAGTATATCCATTTCGTCCTTCGTGCGGCGTACGGGATGGATAGTGACGGTTGCTGACAGCCGCTAGGAGATAGTTGGCAAAAGATGTTGACATGGGGGGCAATTCGTGTCCTATTGTCCCTGGCGGCGTGGCGCTCTTGTTCTTTCAGTAAGTCGTGCAGAAATCAATCAATTTCATAATATTAAAATCGCGGGTAGTGCATTTACCCGGTTTGTACCGTAGCGTTCATTAGGATGCGACAAAAGCGTTTATTTTCAAAGTGTCTTTAACTAAGTGTCCGTTTTGAAACAGTACATAGTAATGATATCCAAAGCTAGCTAGCTATCGGGGGTAGTAGCATTGTGAGTGCATAATAAAAGTCCTTATCAAAATACTTGTTCAAAAAAAACTCTTGGGAATAATGTGGTAGACGTAGCTGAAGTCAATCGTACATCCGCCGCATCCCCCAGACGAGGGATGATACTAATAAATGCACGGAGTTGGCGAAGAGGAATGATACTACAGATAGGGGTACCATCTGCATGCTTTGCACGCTTCAACACATGCAATCCCAGTGGCAGGATCGCAGGGGCCAATGTTCAGACGCCGCACGTAACAAAGGTACTGATCTCGCCAAGCGATACGAGAACCTCGACGATGAATTGGTCGCATTATGAGGCATAATTCGCAGATAACGTGGCTTTGGGAAGTGCGTTGATTATATACATTGACATATGATGAAAAAGGACTCACCTGATAGACCTGATTTAGGCCATTCATATGCGGGTATCAACATTGACGAGGATGGCGTCCCGTCGACCTTTTGGCCACCCAGGGCCAGGAGGAGAGGCATGGATAGTTTGAGCCGGCAACACAATATCGGGATTATGGAAAGATTTGAGCTGGAGGCGAACCGTATTCCATAATTGAACGCGGTCAAATGGAAGGATTGGTGGACGATCGATAGACGGTCTCTGTCTTGGACCCCCCCACCCCATGAACTATTCCTCTCTCTCGCGCGTCATGCTGTAAGAAGCTCGAAAGCGCAACATGCAGATCCGGTAAGTTGAAGTCAGTACTGACATCATCAAGTTTGACTCCCGAGCGAGATGGACTGAAGTTGAGGTGGATGGCAGTGTTTTCAGCAATAAACGTTCGATGAGGGATACTGGAATCGCATCTTGCAGTAGCCATTTGCCTGGCTTTGCGGAAATAATCGGTCGCAACACGAGTGTGGTTCATCTCCTCGAGCAGTGCCGTTCGCGGATCGTTCGTTTCCTGTTCATCTCCATCGTCCAGGTCGTCCTCTTCAAGAATGTCTTCGGCCCTAAAATTGGGATCATGGGATGCGGGATGGTTCTTGAGCGATGTGGCAATTGCGAAACGTCGCAACTTCTCCTCCCGATCAAGATGACGACAGATCTGTGGGTCATAATCATTGTTATTCGTTTGCCGTGCAGGTTCCTTGATTTCAGAAATGTGTGCATGCTCGGTAGCGTCTGCAGACCACTGTATGAGGGCGCCGACTTTGCGCGTGCTGGAAGTGATGCTCTGTAGGAGCTCAAGCTTAGGAATATACCAATTTTCAATAGGCCTCTTTGTCCCCATCCGTGCGCCTAAGGTCAAGATAACATCTTTGTGTTCGTGAAAAGTCGACAAAGATCGGTCGATACACGCCAAGAGATTGTCATCGGGTGCAGGACACTGCGCTAGGTAACGAAGATCCATGAGCGCACGGATCGCGATGACAAAACGACGAGGGGCTGCACCGGATATTAGGCCAACGATATAGCGCTGGAATATCACGATGGCCCCTACCTGTAACTTGTTTCAGTTTAGATATTCCGCCAGAAAAGTGGCGATAACCAGTAGTCGGCTGTAATATCGAGAATCGAAAATCTAGTTCCTGAGCTCCAACGACCACGATACACCACTGAAGATCGTGGTCGTAAAATTCTTTGTGCCAGTGGTGCAATGATTCTGGCGTCAGAAAAATGGAGGGATCTGCAAGCGGCCAATCCATCCAGAATGGTGCATGGACGCCGTTCAGCCGCGAGTCAGCACAAGCCTCAAAATAAGCCTCCAGGTCATCAGGATTGACCGTAATACCAGCGAGCTGTCCAAGAGTGATGGAGCGCGTACGAGCAGGGTGCCGGAAATTATCCCCAAACTGCAAATACGAGGCCATGGTGAAAGGAGAGGTCTTTCCGCGCACACATGCAAGCATGGCCGCCTCTGGGGTATCAACAATGTATGCTGCGAGAGGGGTAAAGCAATGGCGGACGTTTCCTACCGGATCGGACATCATAATCCTGACTTCAGCAGCTTTCATCAATGGCTTCAGAACGATCGAAAGGCATTCATGGACGAGACGGTCTTCAAGCATGCCCCGCATTCGTTGATTGGGATGTAGATACTTTGGAATTGGAAGGAGAGCCGTGAGCAGGAAAGCCTTAGACGAGAGTTTTGTGCGGGTACACATGCGGATATTGGCGAGGCCTAGAAGAAGAGGGTGGGCAACCCTGGCACCAGTCATGGTGGTGATGTTGGTTTTGTCAGATGAAAGAACGGTGCCGAGAACTGTAGCACCTCTGGGAAGTCGTGTCTGCAGGATATATGGTGAGATGACGCAAAATTCGGCAGAATTAGTACTTACTTGCATTTCCCAAGCGGAATCTCCTGTTAACCATTCCGAATATACACGCAAAAGCCGCTCTGCTGTTTTGTAAACGCGGCGAGGGATGAAATCAAGCTTGTCGTGAAACAATGGATTGCTGAAAAGGCTCTCCAAGCATTCCACGGGGTCCCTCCAAAAGAGTCGGATTGGAGACTTGGTAGGATGGATGGAGGAGATAGTCTGGCATTTCCAACTTGGTCCGCTAGGGAGCATTTCAGCACGGCTTCGTAGTTCTTTGGCGTTTTTGAACGAAAGATGCAATCTTTGGATCTGAAAACAAGTTGCGGTTGATGTATCAATGCTCCCATCGTGAGGGTGCAAAGAATACGCACCATTGAAAGCTTCAAAAATTCATCTATTGCTGCCATGCTGAGGGACGAGCGCAGGAGATAATCGGCAATTTCCCACTCTTCTTTGGATGCGAACGGATAGTAGAGGTTGTCTACCCTGCATTCTGCGTATTCATCGGCGTCAAATAAATCCAGGAAGGTCGAGCCGTCTTGGGAGTAACAGGCCCCCGCGCCATCATACTCTTCCTCCAGCGATTCCTCAAACATTCTGAATTCATCGTCGATGTTATCGTGCCAGTGATCCCCATCGTAAACTTCCGGGATGCTGTTGGTATCATCCCCTGCGCGACGCTGGGGAGGAACGACTTCGGTGAACTGCAAAATATCAACAATGTCACGCATATGACTATGACACGAGGATCGAGACTGGCTCAGGTGTCGAGCGACGCTGCTCTCCTTCGTAAATGTTCTCCCACACTTTGGGCATGTTGGTGCTGACATTGAAGATATTAAAATATTCACACGATCTTTGTTGATCTCACCCACCTGTTATGATGTCTCATACTCGCACTGCAGCCTCTAATCCCCGAGCATTCCACAATACTACATCCCCTTCTCCAAGTATCAGAGGACATTCGCATGAGCCACGCAACCAAAGACCTCTTCACACCACGACTCCATCGGCGTTTTATTGGCCTGACTTTGGTGAAGCATTATCAATAAAGGAGGAGAAATTACCTACCGCGCTGCACCTTGTGAGCACCTTACTTGCTTTTACTTGCCAGGACTCACCTTATGCAGCAAGATGATTATACCCAATCGGACGGAGAACTCGAAGGCGATGAACACTCTGATCTTGCGCTTGAGGCTGCTAAAGCTGAACGAAAGGTGTACGAGGCTAAGAAGCACCTGGCCGACTGCATTTTGGCACACCAATCGGTGATTCTTGACATCTGGCGTCAGCGCGTCCAGGCCGCGAATTCTGATTTGTTGACGGCGGAGCTCAATGTTGGACGCCTCCATACAGAGCGGAAGAAAATAAGTATCTCAATGTCCATGACTCGGGGTCACTCAGATGGTACAACAGTGAGTGTTCGTCCTCAATTTTGTTATGTGTGACTTTTGAAAGTATGTCTACAGACAGTCGGTACCCTCGTCCTCATACTAAACTCACGCATTTGCAGCTGGTGTTAATACTGGGCTCGCATTCACACCATCTTTCCTCGAGTTGGGCCCACTGAAGTTAACATCATCGAGACGGGGGCAGAACATATGTGGAGCTATTATTTTCGACCTTCGCAAAGTACCTATAGCTCTATTTATGATGTAATTACTTTGTTGCCTTGTAGTTATTGTGTCGCTTTGTGGAACCTTGTGGAACCTTGTAAAACCTGTAGTACTGTACCCATGTACCGTCTATGGACTTGTATGGCTTTGTATTGACGTGTTGTTTCTGTCACCAAATTTGTAGTTTGCTGATGTTGGCCTGTCAGACGGCGAGGGTACTGAGAGGTTATGGTCGAGATTTGTTAAGCTGATTGGAATACAACGTTCATCCTCAGTAAGTGCCTACTCCGCTTTGACGAAGATTCTTCAAACACACACACACACAGAGGCAAAGGCGCCTTTGGTTGATAGATAGGCAAGCGGCTGCCATTGGTAAGGAGATGCAAGTAGATCTCGGAGATTGGATCAAACATCGACTCAAACGTGGAGTTAACAACCAAGGATCTGCAGCGAAGGAAGCTCTAAGGAAATGTGGGATCACCGCTGAGGATCTGCAGGCGCAGTGGGCGGATCAGAAGAAGTCCCAACTCTCCATTCGCGCCCGTACGTCAGTTTAGCTTTCCTCGTTCGAAGATGAAACTTACGTCACGCATTGTGAACTACAGATGCTCCTGCCCGGCTCAAAAAGGAACTCGACGTGGTGCTTGCTCTACAGGCAGATCTCGATGCTTCAGATAGGGCTTTGCAAGCCACACGTTCTGTGGTCGAAAAGGGCTCGGTCAGCGAAGAGACATTGGATGCTATAACAAGCCTTGAGCGCAGCCACGAACGTCTAATGACCAAGGTTGAAGTACTGTATTCGTCACTCAATGTTCATGACAGGTTTCCAGAGCTCCAAGATGTGGACTTAGATTTCGTTCGGACACTCCTGATGGCCCGCGACCTCAAAATCAATATTCGGAAGAGAGCTATAGGAAGCTTTTTTGAGTGGGACAAACTTGATCGCGCCGTCGGTGGTGCAAATCAGGCCCTCGGTGAAGCATTTTCTTCCAATTTCGGATCATCAAAACTGACTTGTTATCTCGCAAGGCACGAAGCTTCATCAACAAACTCGTAAGGCAATCGCAAAGCGCCAGCCAGCGTTAATGACTGCAATTCGCAAATTCAACTCATATTGTGAGCGTCTGGAGAGCCTCTACGATCCATCCTGGAGCATCCCACTTCCTACTCCTCTTCCTACCAAGCTTGCGGACCTTCGAAATGACCAAACATTGATGGAGGATGTTTGGATCACCCCGTCAGTAGGCGACGTTCCTCGTTGGATGGAAGATCCGGATGTCAGAGATGGGATACGAGCGTTGTTGAAATGGGAACGGTGTCAGGAAGAACAGCGCCGCCTTGGGCTCGAGGCTGACAATCTTTGCCGATGGTTTGGAGATGAACTTGCGGCTCTTGAGCTCGCTCTGCGCTTGCCTACAAGTAAGTCATTTCGCACGTCGATGATCAGTGCTAATTTAACAAGACCGAACATTCATGTTCACAATTCAGCAACGGCGCGATCATGTCCTTCTACTACAGACTAGATGGGTTACTCCATTGGTGTCTTCCACTCGTTTCAATGGCAGTGGCAACGCAGCACTTAAGCTCGCCACTTCTCTTGCTGGGAGCCATGGATCATCAACCACTGCTGCATACTCGCTCATACCGACCTCCCTCACACTTATAGATCCCTCCCCCCGAAGAAGACATCGTCGAGGAATCTGTTCCACGCACATTTGAAGAAGGCCCTGAACAAGTGGCGCTCTCAGATGTTTTACAAGACGGTACCATTAGTGATGAGGACGACGAGGACGACGATGAAGATAAGTGCATGGGAGAACCTGAATATGTCATAACATGGCAACTCCCAGAGGTACGTTTCAATATCTCATATAGAGAGTCATACTTATCCTACCTCATAGAACCTTCAAAATGATCACTTCAGAATTCCTAGCCCCGAGGAGATCCCCATCAAACGTACGAAGGACATCTCCTGAACCCGCGTGCGACCAGCGCAAGACGGCTTCCCTCATCAAGTATTTGAGTCTAGGGATGTCTCCATGCTCGCACAGCCTACAGCCCGACTCAATGACACATGTATCAATGGTGTCGCTGCATTGCTCTACTCCGAGATATCAACTACCTGTCATGTACGTCCTTGTGCCATTCTCTCCACGCACGATCTCCCTCGGATTCGATATAACGCGTCCGATGATATACTATGGCGGAATATGTCATGGACGTCATATTGGGAGAAAGACCTGTGGCTTCTACCTATCCATCGGCCGTCTCCTGTTGGACATTGGGTATTTTGTGCAGTCTACACGTCGACAAAGGAACTGCACCTCTTTGACAGTCTCGCAGATAGACAACCATGGAAGAATGAAGTCAAGGTCAGTATTACTTTCAATCACACTATCTCGATTTCACGATGATGATTATAGGATATCATGAAACTTATCGCCCGGTTATCGTCTATTGCCCACGATCGTCGTGGCTCAGATCTTATTGACATCAAAGGCTGGGTAGCTCGCCCGCTAGTAGTCCAGCCATTGCAGACAAATGGCTATGACTGTGGGCTGTGGGTGCTCGCAGCGATTGCAGCGGTGTTACGAGGAGCGCATCGTACGGGCATGTGCGAGGACGACATGATAGCTTTCAGACATTACATACGCACACTTGTACTTAGTTTGTCATTTGAGTCGGTCTCCATGGCCTTGTGTGATTTCTCGGCAGATTTGATTGTAATTAAAATTGGATATGCTACAAGGACATGCATAGTATGGTACAACGACAAACTAATGTTCTACTCAATACTCTGGTGACTGACCGGCCATCTCAAGTTCATCCACGGCATCTCCAGTGGCTTCCGTCGCTGTTGAATTCTGGGTAAGGCAGGCTATACCCGGAATGAGCTCTCTGGCGTCGACTCCTCTAACAATTGGGGCCGGGGGAGGCGTCTGCGTCATCTTGAGTCGACGAGAAGGGCCGGGAGAAGCCTCCTTGAAACGACGAGAAGGGCCGGCAGCAGTCATCTCAAGGAGACGACTAGAAGGGCCAGGACGAGGACACGAAGGGACGGGGCGTGTCTCCTTGAGATGACTAGCTGGGCCAGGATGAGGACGCGATGGGGCGGGGTGAGACTCCTTGAGATGACTAGTCGGTCCAGGACGATGACGCGAAGGAGTGGGAGAAGGGGTGGGAGAAGGGGTGGGAGAAGGGGCGGGGGATGATTCGTCTGGTGAGAGTCGCCTAGGGCCCTTCCGATCAATGCGACCATTGACAAACAAGCGACGTCCGAACGCGTGGGGTGAATGAGGTCCAGGAGCCTCGCCATAGATGACAGGGTCGCGAGACGCCAAGAGCCTACGGGGATAATCTTTGGCGTGGAAGCGTTTGAGGGTCAACGAGCCATCTTTCAGAGCATCTGAAAGCACACCACGCTCACGAAGGGTTAGGTCGTTGATACCTTTGCTCTTGTGGTTCGTGTTGCGAAGTTCACCAGGCATGAGTGCGTCTTCTGGGTAGTTGTAGAGTACCGAGCCATTTTTCCCTAGGAAGGTGGGCAGGGTCTTCCAAGGGAAGTTCAACCCCTGCCCACTGAGGTTTCCTGTAAAATCCACGATCAGACATTCTACTGAACGTTTGACGGCAAGACTTACCACAAAGTGCGGTTAAACCGCCCATGATGCACGGTAACCCATCCAGCAGCCTCCAACTCTCTGAATCATAGCGTTTCCGCCTCTCTACCCATTCCTCTAACACTTCCTCCGCAGATAAGTCATGCTTGGATGCGATGCGGTTGAGTTGAATTTCGAGTCTTGCGAGGTCGGCATCCATCGACAAGGACACCTTGGACGACACCTTGGATTGGTGAGACTTGGTGGGTTTTGACAAGGACACCTTCGACTTGGTGAGTGGGTAAAGATAAGTAAGAATCCCATCGATAACAGAGGATTAGATCGATAACGGAGTGTGAGATCAATAGACGCCGGCGTTGGTGTTGGGTGAATTGGTTCCCACGTGAGAACATCCGTCAGTGTTCTGGCCGAAGTCTAGGTGCCACTCGGCAGGCTCGGCAATTTCAAGCGGAGTCAGGCACTCATTGCGACCAATTCATTCAATATTCCCGCCCGTCACTCGCCCGCCCTCCACGGAGTCCACGCCCTCCATAGGAATATTAATGCTGCAACATCCTACTTGTCTCTTCTGTCCCACTCACTTTGCATGCGGCTGTTGAAGACAACGTTGACACCACACAGCTGCTCTAGAATTCGGTGAGCATCTGGAGCGCATTTGAACTCACAGCTCTCCGTGTGCACATACTCTGCCCGTTGGAATCACGGTACGTCCTTGCGTCTTTTTGCGTCTGACTGGTGATCTGCACTTCGAACCACGCAGCTACTTAATCTCGGACAGCTGGTTAGGCTCTGGCGATGCGCTTCCCTAACGGCCAGCCTCTACAATACCATATGTGAGTTGTCATCACGGCATTCTTAACTTCTGCTTTTGAACAGTGGATCTCTTCATCAAACTATATTAATATGGAGGGCTGCCTCCGCTCATCTTCTCAACCACACCACATTTCAAGATCATCTCAGTATGTTTTTTTCTTCTCCTCGCGCTCTATGCTTACTATCCAACCTCTTGTCACAAAAGATGGACGTCAATCAGGCCGAGTTCCTGCGTTCAAAAATTCCGATGTTCCGAAGACATCAACCTTGGGACAGCCGCACCGACCTTCTTATCGATGAAATATTTGATGAGTTCGATGAAAGGTGGCCATTGTGCGACAAAGTACTGCCCGACTTTGATGTCGAAAAGGACGCACCTATCACCAACTGGCAACTATGGGAAGTTCGTCAGGCATATGACAAATTCCGTGTTGTGAGTACCTAGAATTTCACTTAGTTATCGATGTGCTGACCGTCCGGTTTGTAGGAGATCAAGTGTTTTTTATTGTGGGAAACACGCTGGTTGCTGAGGCGTGAGTTGCGGGAGAGTGGTGTAAGGCCACGGGATTACTGGACTTATTGGGGAGTAGGACGCGCATCGGACTGGGCTTACTGGGGGGTCAGACCATGATCTGTAGAACAGTACATAAAAAAAGACTTTGCTTATGCTCAATTCTTTTCACTGCAATTGTGACGCTTGAACTGTATATACTAAACGCGTCCTACATATCACGGTGAGTTGTTCTTCAAGTTGCATATCATGGCTATCAACCCTTTCAGAACTCAATCATGAACATCTTCAGATCCTCTGGCGATGTTTCTGCCTAATGGCGATCTCTGGACCATATTAATAAGTGAACTGATCACGGCGTTCTTGACTTCTGTGTTCAAACAGCGGATCCCTTCATTAAGCCTTATGAAGATGGAGGGAGGTCGCCATCAATCTATCTCCTGCCTCCGCTCATCTTCTAAGATCATCTCGGTATGTTGATTCAAGTTTTTTTTTCTCCTCACACTCTTGGCTTACTATCCAACCTTTTGCCAGGAAAAAAAACGTCTGCAACCTCGTTCAAATCTTGCATTTGAATCGTCTTCGTAAGGTAAAGTCTCAATGATTAGAATTATACAATCGCTAACACATCCCTAGCTATGACTCAAAAAAATTCAGCAGATTTACAAAAATCTCCTCCTCCTGAATACGTTCCCGCTGAGCCTCACATGGCTGACAGAGAACGAGGATTTCCTGAGGAGCAAGTTGGCGGGGGAAGGCGTCAGCTGACTCCCGTCATTGAAACTCCAACAAAACTCCGGACCCACATCAAGGCTACCAACCGCGATGGAGGCTTGGTCAAGGAGGCATCGGTGCGTCGGGCAAGGCTTGTCGAGCCAACCTCAGAGGACTCGGAGTCCTTGCTCGCTCTCCCCCCGCCAACGTTCAGTGCCACCTCAGCCTCTTGTCGAGCCAACCTCAGAGTTCTTACTCACTGGCCCCCGCCAACGCTCAGTCCCATTTCAGCCTGTTCCCCGACAACGTTCAGTCCCATTTCAACCCGCTGTTCCCTGACAGCCTACACCCCCTGGTCAGGCTCAGCCTGTTAATGATTTATTCTACGACACTCCTCAGATCATCCCTTCCCGCTCGCACGAGCCTCCACACGAGCCTCCACAGCCGAACTTATTCGCTACACCTGCCTTTGTGCAGGAGGAGTACAACTTCCGTGGTATCGACTTCAGTGTTTTGGATGGGAATGTTGACGGGGATCCCATAGCTGGACCGTCGACAATGCTGCCTGCAGTCCCTCACACACGGATCATCCCTCCGACGCCCACTGTTGGGGACTGGGATATGCCTCATCCTGATTTCATTCCCACGGACTTAGATTTTGGGTCCAACATGGCCATGGACGTGGACGATCAAGGCGATGTCCCTACAGTGAAAGGTCGAAGGCAGGGGGCGGCAAATGCCTTACTCCAAGAGGGCTTCATGAGGCTCGAAACTGTTATTCGCGAGGTCAGCCACAACACCTCTATTCCCACACATCAAGTCATCGCTTTATGGCACAAGAGCAACGGGCGTTCCTTCAACAACGTCAACCACTGGAATGCTTACAGCAGCTACTTCAAGGCAAATCCCCAGCAGGAGCTGAAAAGACTCGGCGACAAGGCTCCCGAGGGTCCCGGGACGCCAAGTGAATGTTTATCAATTTTGTTTGATGCCTTCTTTCTAATTTAATGAATTTTAAGGTGCAACCGTGCGTCGCAATTGTTACGAGCTTTTCAAACACAATATCCGGACTCCTGGCAAACGATCCTCGAGTATCATGAGGAGGCCACGGTCCTCATGGGCGCGCCTCAGACAGTTGCCATGCGGGCTCAGGAGTTTCATAAGTTTGGCAAGAAGGTCTCGGCTATGGTACACCCACTTCTTTGATTTCAAAATGTTGCGTTTCTGACATCGCACAGATGAATATCGCTGCTGCTCGTTTCAGGTTTGAGGGTGCACTGGTAACATGTGGAAAGGTTGTCAATCAGGACGGTTCTCTGGATCTGGCCCATACGACGCCTGGAGCTGCAGGGGTAGGTGTATTTTTTGCACTATGAGGCCCAGGGGATGATCTGACGAGCCTCTTGTAGTTTTGGCTGACGCGTTGCAAAGCCAATGATGATACCATCATTGGCCATCTCAAAGCCCAAGTATAGTAAGCATGGATGTATTTCATTCGGAATCTATACTAAGCGTTGATACAAGTAATCTAACATCTCTGGGTGTTGTTGACGAGGCCTTCAAGGACGAAGCTGAGATCATCCAACGCAACCAGTCCGAAGCGCCGATAATCGAAGAGACGACGAAAGAGTGCCTGGATATTTCAAAGAACGGAATCCCATGGATCAAGCAAGAGTTAGGTCGACAAATCGGTATGTCTGAGTACATGTGGTTGTTTTTTTGTCCGCTGACGGTAAACAATAGAGAAACTCGGCGGCAAACTATCGTCCAAGAGGAACTTTCCATGGAAGACTCTTCCTGCGGAGCTCATCCGTCTCGGGATGATCATCAGAGGATATCCAGAGGATGTGTTGCTCCCTGGCGATTTTCATACGACCTCCAACAAAGGAATCGCGAATTTGACTCTGAAGGAGACTGGGATTTTGATCGCGGCCTTGAAGGCAGGCTCGATGCAGGTCAAAAAGGTTTCCGAGGCTACGCAAGGTATGTTTTAATCTAAGTTATTATGTACATGCTTATAGCGGATCCTTCTTTATAGCTCTACTCCTCACCTCCGAGATGCCAGTACTAGAAGGAGCACCTCCCGCAGAAGATTCCGCTCATAGAGGAGCGCGATGTCTTTTTGCAAACGGCCAATCGGACCGCCTGGGACTTCCCCGTGCAAAGCCAAGTGCGGCTGCTACCAGAATGAAAAAGGCGCCAATGAAATCACACAAATCTGCCATAACTCTCTCTGACGACAACGACTCTGATGATGACGGTTCTGTTCGACCCGTTCTTAAACCTCCCCCGTCGCGTGAATTCAAGGTGGTGAGGCCCCCAAAGAGCCAGAAGAAGGACGAGAAGGACGAGAAGAAGATCGTCAAGAAGATCGTCAAGAAGGAAGTCATTTCGCTTGTGTCTAGTGAGGTCAGCGATGCTCGCTCTGGCTCTGAGAAGCCCGAAGATGACGACAAAGCCAAGAGCGACTCGGACTATGAAGACGACTCTCCCGCATCTAAGAAACGAAAGGCAAAGTCAGAGACTACTTTGCGAGCATCGAAGAAAAGGGCTTCGCCTGCTGAGCCTCCTTTGCCGAAGGCAGGAAATCCGAAGAGCATGAAGGGGAAAGGCAAAGCACGCGCTGAGAAGAGTAAACGACCTTCCACTGTCGAGTCCTCAGACAATGAGGAGGCTCCGAATGTAATCGCGCGAGGTGAGTTTTTGTGTTTGTTGTGAGCTACAATGGTACTTACCCATGCTACACAGCGATAGAACAACCTGCTAAACGCCTGCGCGATGGCCCCAAAGTTCAAGGTAATTGTTGTGCATTAATCAATGTCATACCTATGAATTGACGATGTGATTAGAGGTCCCAAAGGCCAGCGCGGAACCGAATGACGCTGAGGGCACTACCAGAGGCTCTGAAGAGGCACCCGCGAGCACTGAGCCTGTTGCTGCGGCAGGTCATGTCGATAGTGAACGGAATGACGCTGATGGCACTGCCAGAGGCTCTGCAGAGGCTCCCGCGAGGACCGAGCCTGCTGCTACTGCTGGTCATGCCGATAGTGTGCCCGCGCGCTCATTGCCACCCTTGTCCCCCTTGCAAATTCGTCAGCAAATACCTTCCCTCCCAGAGAATTACATTCAGACCGAGCCAGCTACTCGTGTGGTGGCAAGCAACACTTTGTGCACAGACCCCGTCCACACAGATCCTACAACTCGCGCAGCAAGCCAGGACAACACCATGCATACAGACCCCATTCGTTCAGACCGTCCTCCATCTCTGCAGCCTGACCTCACGCCAACGTTGGCATCTAATCACGGGCGCAGTGAACCTGCTATGGAAATCCCGCATGATCAAGAGGTCAGACCAATGTATGACCCACGTCCAAGAGGTCCATTACCGCCGCGTTATGGTCCAGGCTTCACTCGGTACCCCCAGTCCGACTATTACCATGATCCTCGTGCTATGCACCGCGCTCCACAACTTCCTCATGGCCCTCAGCCTCATCCTCATCAGCATCAGCCCACTCATGGCCCGCCTCGTCAACCCTCTCATGGCCCTCAACCTCAGTATCACAACGGCGGGTATCATGATGCCCCATACCACGACTCTCGAGATGGATATGATGGATATGTCGACAGTTATTGGCACCCTCCAAGCAGTGCATATTTTGGTCCGGGAGGGAGATATCAGCATGGATATGGGCGCGAGTATCCCAACGAGTATCCTGAGGACCTGGAGGATGGAGGACGAGCTCCTTAGACTCACAGAACTCGATTTATCTCAGCCGCAATTGACTGCGTCCCTCCCCCTTGCATATATTGAGTATCATCATCTAACTACACCGCGAGCCTTTTCGTCTGACCTTTCTGCCTGTTGGTGTCGTTACGAGTCCGTTTGTATCTACTATATATTGATCAATGCATGTGTCTGAATGTCTGAATCACGCTCGAACAAGGAGGATGAACTGGAAAAATAAAATCAATTCGCCAGAAGTATCATGGGAGCCTCTAGAGGAGCCTCTAGAGGAGTATAAAAACATCCACCGTCACCTCGCTGACATCGAAAACAACATACGGAGATGGTGATCATCAGATGGTGATACCATCTGGAGAGGTTGTTTGTAGAGGGTCGAGACCATCTGGAGAGGTTATTTGAAGAGGCTCGAGAGCAAACATCGAGGAGATGTCAAACCCAACCTCCCCAAACATCCCCAAATATCAAGTAGCGATGCTCGCGAGGGAGAGGTGCAAGATGACCGGAAATTAAGGGGAGGACCTCAGTCAGAGATGATGTCTTACAGACTACTTGTATTCAACATAAGAATAGGGTCTGACAGTACGTGGGAACATCTTGAAAGTGCTGCCAAGGGTGGAGTAGTGCTGCCGCAGTTCAGTCCCGAACCTAGGTTCGAACCTGAACTTTTGCGAACGGAACCACCGTTCGGTCAGTAGTTCGACATACGATACAGGACCGAACCTTACATAGGTTCTTCGTTCGGGTGGTCTCGGATGGACAGTCGGACCCGTTCGGACGAGTCTGAACCAGTCCGAACCCATCATTAGAGTTGCAGGTTTGTTGCTTCTGTTCTGCGACTCCTCAGGTTCGTTGAAAGATGCTCACTGTTGACATATCAGTAAGTTTACCGGTGAAATTATCACTGGTGCAATCATCACTGGTGCAATCATCACCGGCACTATCATCACCGATGCAATTGATCAGAGTGGATATTCATATCTCATTCTGGTCTCACACAGAACATCAGCAAAGGATAAAAGGGTGGGGTGCGTCCAAGGTTAGCTCATTCATCAAAACATGTCGAACTCTGCAGTTAATGCTAATGGTGTTTTGAAGGATGTGTCCGAAATCAAATGGTATCATGATCCTGACGATGACATGCCCATCTCGCCCCAGTCCTGAACACATTCTCATTTTGACGACACTCTTACTTTCATCATGCAGCCCTCGACCCTAACTACAAAGTTGCCTACGCTAAGGCAAAATGGGCGTCTCAAGACTTTGCTGATGGAGTGAAACGGCTCGAAGATGTGGTAAGTCCATGGGTATCTCAATAAATTGTCTGCGCACTAACTTAGTATCTAGTTTGATCAGTATTATCGTGCCCCTCCTTCATCTGCTGCGACGACACATTCTGCTACACCATCCCTCTCACGCCAAGGTTCCTACGGCCAGAGCTGGATGCGCGATGCAATCAAAGCTCGTGTCTCACATGACGCAGCTCGTCAAAGGCCTCGTCGGGAATTGGAGGACTACTTAGCTGCACCACTGGAGGATGTTGAGAATGTAGTCGCGTGGTGGGGTGTAAGCTCATATCCTTAATATTCCGTGTAACTTGAAGCTGACAATTATTTTTTTAAAGCATCACTCGGTTCAGTATCCCACTGTTGCTCGCATTGCAAAAGATTACCTCGCTATTCAGGGGTCTGCGGTAGCATCTGAACGGGCATTCTCAAGTGGCGGCATCACCGGCACCACACGTCGCAACTGCTTGCTTCCAGAGACATTCGAGGCACTTCAACTGTTAAAAAGTGCATACCATCAAGGCCATGTATCAGCAATGGTGCAGGCTGAGCTTGTTGCTCCTCAAATTTTTATTGTTGAATAGTCTAGCCTACAATTGTTCGTACTTGGAAAATTTTGCTAATTTCATGTTGCGTTCGGCGGTTCGAACTGGTTCGAACTCGAACCCGACCATTGTGAAACCGTTTGAAGTGGTCCGGCCCAGAGTCCACCCTACCTTTGTGAACTTGACCGAGGTTCAGTTCTCGGTCCTCAGTTATCTTGAAAAAACCAGACGGAACTGAACTTCGGCAGCACTAAGTGAGAGGGTATTGAATAGGTTAAGATGCTTTGTGTTGTCTTTATAAAAATAATAGGAAACGATCCGTAAGGATTGGAGTTGGGTGTGCGTGAATGGCTCCATGGCCTCCATGTCGGTAAAAAATGTAGTTATCGTCAAGGAGGAGAGGTTGAGGCATAAACGGAGCAATTTGAGGATTGCACTTGGTTCGTCTAGGTCGATCTGGATATTTGTGAGACTGGGCCCAGGCGGGATTGAAGGTAGATGCGTATTCCATGTTGAAGAACAGCCCTGTTACCGTGAGACTGCGCAGAGTCCATGGCGGTTGCGAGATAGATTGGCCGACACAAGACCCAGAATTAAAATGCAATGATATGGTCAGCTCCTCAAGTGCGAGGAATTCTGATATCATAACCTCAGGTTGGAGGCCGTGGTGGTAAAAACCAAGAGACAGAGACAAGACTTGATTTATGTAGGGCTGAAGAAGGCTTTGCAGCTCAGTCCAGTTGCTTTTGTAACACTCGAGTTCCAACGAGAGTGGACGCACTCGTGATCGCTTGAGCCATAACTCATAGCAGAAAGCCCCCCGCTGCCAGTCTTTGCCCACATATAGTCCTTGCCACAAACTGGACATATCCACAGCAACCTCCCTCCATCGTCGGCATATTCTTGTCAATAGCAAAGGAGCTGCCCTTGACGCGGGCGACAAGCGGCGACAATTCGGAAGACAGCGAGTAAATATCTGGGATAGGACTTCGGCTGGCAAGCGCCAGAGAGCTGATACAAGTCGCTTGTGTGAATTCATGGACTGAGTGATCTTGTCCTTCTTTGCGACCAGTTGCTGATGAATATGGTTGATACCATCTATGACTGTTTCAAAATGTGAGATTTCGTGGGATGCTGCATCCAATTGCTGCTGGCGTTCGGTGATGATGGCACTGATGTTTTGGTAATTGAGGTTGAAAGCAGAGTAGTGCGTATTGCTAATGGGATACTGGGTTTCGAGGTCTGGTACCTGGTCATCGCGAATCAATGACATCGATACATGCATTAAACTCAATTGACGTACGATTACTTGTGAATGAGCGAGCTGAGATAAATTGTTTATTGTCATATGCATGAGATCTCCTATGAAACTGGGTGCTTACGATGTTTTGCAGGGCATCAATAATATCCGAGACCGAGGAAAAATCTGCTTTTGAGTTGGCTGTCATAGCATCAATGGTGTCTGTATGTTGTTGATGGTCGTCTAATGCGAAGGACATGTGCTTCCAGGGTTCAATAGGGTTCGAACCTGAGTCACAGTGAGTCCGCTTTTCATTTAAGACGGCTGTCCCCGAAACCCCTATCATGGCAAAATCAACATTATATACTGTAGAGATACGACACTAACTTTGTCACACGTCACAAGCGGCCGTGAATTGAAGCTATTCAATGTGACTGTCACGGTGATTTTTCATAACTGAAGCTATTTGTGACATGCAGTAAATTCAATAAAAAAACATATAGAGCGCCTCAATGAGACCAAAAGTCGGTGTACATCCTATTCACAATCTGTCTATGCTTTCCACACCCACAATCTACCTTTGGAATGCTGTCAGCTTCGCCATCAATGTCACCCTCACCAATATCATAGACTTTGGATTGTGTTGCAGAGGCAAGACTGCCATTGGTGACATCCAACACGCAACCAGGATAGGTTTGTAACCCCTCCGAAGCTAGATAGTTGGTTAATGTGTCCAGAGGCACATCACTGGCATCAAGACCACTGTCAGTTTCGTCAAACGGAGATTCATCGATGCAGGAACAGTTAACAACTGTTTGATTTCACGTCTAACAGACGATGGAAGGTGGTTCTGCTCGAAAATGTGACCACATTCAAGCCAATCTGAGGCGACAAATGCATCAGTTTCAAGTTGTGGCATGACTGGGAGTGACATTGAAGGCGGACTTACAGTTCCAGTAGGTCCAGCGTTTAAGACCACACCCAGTGTTGCTTGACAGTCCATAGGTGAAACAATGTGCAGCAATAGTGAAGTACCGACCGACTCGGAGATCCACCATTGACGACGGCGATGCAATAGTATGTTACACTTTGTCACACCTGACTGAAGCTATTTTGGTCGAGTCACAGGTCACACCAACATTTGAAGCTATGAAGCTAAGTGTAAGATGGTCACGGCTGGATGTGGTTGAAGTTAGTGTCATATCTCTACAGTAATGATGGAACATATACACAATTTACTTATTGCTCAGCGCTCATCATGTTAGTACAGGACTTTGGATCTCATCACGAGCATTTGAGGGGTGCAACTTCGTGTGTCAAGGTTTCAACCATCGATTTCCCTAACTACTTGTATTTGTGGCACATATTTGAATCAAGTGCGATTGTGATTGCTAAATCAAGTTTCAATTACATCAGGAAAAAGACAGTTGACTACATAGTACTACATAGTCAGGGTAGTCCGTGTAGCTCGGTAGCTACCTGCCTTCTATATAGCAACTGCTGTAACTATGTAGTACTACATAGTGCTATGTAGCGCTATGTAGCGCTACCAGGTACTACTGTAGTAGATAGGAGTACCACTACATACAGCTACCAGCCACTATATAGCGCACTGTAGTGACTCAGATAATAGCACATTAAATAGCACAAAAACCAATGAATTCAAATGACTAATCAACAGAAACTAGTAGATCAACTGGCAGTTAATAGCTGGCTTGATCTTCTTCACTCCCATCCATGAGCCTCAGCCGCCGCTCTCGCTAGCCTTGCCGTGCATCCTCCTCCTCTTGAAGCTGGTGCTCTCGAATGGCATCTTCGAATGCCTTGTCGCTGATCTGGGATGCGTCTGACACCGTAGTAGCGAGTCCCTCTACACCTGCATGGAAACTTTGTACAAAGGTGAGGCTAGCACTTATGAAATTATAGTAGTGAAATGTACCGAGCCACATCATGCAAATTGTTGCAAATTCTTTCAAAGAGCTTATAAGGTGCCGTGCGCTCGTCAAAACGCTGCAACGAGCTCAAATGAGTTTGGTAGACACATCCATAGGTAGCTGCTGTAAATGTGATGTCTTCTTTCAAGCCCTGCAGCCACTCGTCAATACAGCATTCAATCTATCAACAATCAGCCATATTCAATGTCATGAATATAAGATACGACTCACGGCTGTAAGCGTGAGCGCAATAATCTCAGTAGGCATGGGGTTAAAATGCTTATGGTAGACGACGCCTTCATCGTTTTGGTTTGCAAACCACATAACATTGATCCCTTCTTGGAGTAATTTGGTCTTGTATATGCCCGTCTTCGCTGTCCAGTCCTATTACCCAACAGTCAGTACTTGAAAGGTCATGTAGACCATTGCACTCCATACCTTGTAAACAAAGGATGAACCGTCTTTCAAAGATTCTGCTAGATCTCGGTTTTGCCTTACAACCTCCCTCGAATCACTTGACCGGAAACCAAAAAACAAACGAGTTAGTGACCGCATCTTTGTTTTGAGTTCGCCACGCACATGTGATGTGCGTTTCAAAAGCTTCAAAACAAGATATAATTTAAGTCAGATTAAGAATGCACGCCGGAGAACAGAGGGCTTACCATCTTGACTGCTGAAGGTGTTAATTTGACATTGATGCCTTTTATTTGGCACGCCTCGTGCCAGGCCTCTTTTGCCAGCATCGTCTCGGCAGCAATCGTATCCGGAAATGGCGCCTGTGTGACGATTAGACAGCGGAAAAATAGAGGTCGCAGTTACAAGGACGTCTTTTGAGACATCATCAAAATCACTAGCTTTTGCACATTGATGGGAGCCGTCTGAATTTTTCTTGATCTTCAGCACTACCATGGTGTCTTCTGTGTCGTGCGATCGTTTGGTTGCCCGAGGGGCAGGTATTTGTTCCTCATCGGAGTGACCATCCTCTTCATCGGTGTGACCAGCCCCAGCCTCCGATTGAGACTGATCTGCTGACTCTGGGTCCTCGCCAGACTTATCACTAGTGTCGTCTGAGGTGTCATCCTGAGGGGTATTGATTGCAGGGGCTGCTTCAGTAGGTTAGATAGAAGTGTATTAGTTTACAAGCAGAATTCACGTACCCTTCAGCTTGCGTGTGCTGCCGCTAGTGGTGTGCGATGCCGGGGGAATTTTCCCCATGCTGAATGCCAGGATCTTGGTATTGGACAGTTTCGTCTGTAGAATGTGGTCTGAGAACTGAATGAAAATAAAAATAATCAGCTATTGTTCAAGTGGCAGGAAACAAGACAAATGAGCCAACCATAGTGTCTTCATCCCTGTCGGCATCACTAAGTAGCTCAGAGGGCTCTTTCTCAAAGATGTCAGGATTGTCTTGGTAGGTCGCCTTGAGTGCCCTTTTTTCCGTTTGTCCAACTTTTTTTCCTTGGTTGCTTGACGACGGGATGTGTTTTGCGTTTCAGATACTGTAGAGAAAGTGAGTGAAACATCACATCGTAGTAGCACGGTGACTTACCTCGATAATTCTCTTTTTCGGTTGGTTGTCATGGTCGACCCCTCGCGGTGCACACAACTGGTTGCTCGTCATGCGGTGATGACAGAATGCTTGTATTTGCTTGCTTGGAGGTGGCCTTACGAGGAGGCATGATTCAAGGTGCGAATGACCTGTAGTTCAGCTGGTTTTATAATGTCGTGCAAGACCTAAACACTCACAATGTGAACCTTGAATCTTTGTTGATTTCAGGGCTTGTTGATTCAGTATAACGTAGGACTAAAAGCTGTGTTAAATTGGAACAATAAGAAGGTAGGGACATACCATTAGTTAGGGACTCGGACATACTGTTTCAATAATTTTCACTGTCATGGATACCTCCAACTCAGTGAAAAAAAGGTGCGGAGCTTACTTCAAACACTCACCACGCTCTGACAGATCTCATAGGTCAATGTCATCATTCACCGAGGCTTGCTATAAAGACAAAGACAGTGTCAAAAGGTGATCCACCCCTCCTCATTACTACCAAATACCAAATACTCACCTGGCTTGGAGGCCAAAGCTTGAGGCGCCTGATGCAGAGCCCAATGCAGAGCCCAGAAGGCTAAAGCGTGAGGTGCCTGATGCAGAGCCAATGTTCCTACTCCCTCCATTTCGTCAAACACCAGGCCCCATCTCCATTGCACAGTCATACTTGCGAAAACTGATTTTGGAGCATTGGGAGGCAGAAATAAAGGCCTGCGAGCAAGCAAAGAAATTGCAACTGTTAGAAATCGCGCCAGGCCCAGCTCTTACCCTAATACAAGCAAGCTTGCGAAGACTTGTTGTTGAGCACTGGGATGCAGAACTGAAGCGTTGTGAGGAGGCAAAGCAGGCGCAAATGTTAGAGTTACTTCTTGCTGCCCATGGTATCTCCAGACTAGTGTAGTGCCGTTATATTGCCCTGAACCTGAAAAATTTCAGTTGAAACAATGGGCCAGTCTCCTCTCCATAATAGAGTGCGTTCTCGGACTGTGCCTAGGACACTAGGACATAGTCTCCATAACAGAGTGCATTCTCAAGGACATAGTCTCCATAACAGAGTGTGTTCTTGGACTGCTCCTCCATAACAGAGTGCGTTCTCGGACTGCGCCTCCCTAATAGAGTGCGTTTTCGGACTCGGTGTACCTGGTAGCCATTGGTAGCCATCAGCGCTGTGGGCAAAGGGTCAGTTACAAATTGCCCAGGGTAGGGCAAAGGGTACCACTCAAAATGCCCAGAGTCTAGACCTGTCAAATTACGATACACATCAAAAAGAGCCAGAAAATAAACTGGAATCACTTACCAACCATGCCTCACAGCTGCGGATTCTGTGGCAAGCCTTTCCCGTCAAAGGGAAGCGTCAAGAAGCATATAGCTATCTGCCCCGAATGTAGAAGAAAATGGGAGTCAATAGTTGAAGATACAGATGGTGAAGGTGGCGCACCCACTGATTTTGCTTACAACAATTCTTTTTCCCCACTTCACCGCTCACGCTCCAACTCTTTCGATCTTGATGAAGTCAACCCAGCAGCATCAAAAGTCGACGGGTGACGGTTGAAGATGTGGCCAACAAAGAAGATGGCAGGCGGTATTTCGAGCCATGTCCTGATGCCAGCTGGACGTTGCAGGAGGGGCAAACTAGTTTTGAAAGGTATCAGCGATATAAGGAGGGTGAAGGCGAAGACGAGTGGGCACCCTTTTGCGACATGTATGAGTCGTGTTCTGTTTATCAGGTCCACAAGAAAATTAACTTTGGTCCTGGCAGGGAAGATTGGGGACTTGCAGAATGGCTTGTTAAAAGCCTCGGGCAGACTCGAACGGATGAATTTCTGAAGTTACCGATAGTAAGCTTGGCATTGATGACTGAAAAATATGCACTGACCATAGTAATAGATGCAAAACCGTATGAAACCTTCATTCCACAACAATCGGTCATTCCTACAGAAGGTCGATAAGCTGCCGCACGGACCTGCCTGGAGTTGCAAGAAGGTTAGCGTCAAGGGAAATCGAATGGACGAGAATGGCCAGTCGCTGCATGAGGATGTTGAGCTTTGGATGCGTGACCCTGTGGAGTGCATCAAGGATCTTATTGGTAATCCTTTATTCAAGCAACATATGGTATATGCACCATCACGAGCGTACAAGGATGAAGCAGGTAGTTAACGGCTCATAGACGATATGTGGACAGCTGATTGGTGGTGGGACAAGCAAGTGAGTAGCACATTGATTTGAAACGAGGAAAAAGCACTTACCTTCGCATCAGAAAGAACTGCCCAAAGGAGCGACCTTAGCTCCCATTATCCTGGCTTCCGACAAGACATTATTATCCCAATTTTGAGGCGACACATCTGCATGGCCCGTTTACCTGTCAATCGGCAATATTGCCAAAGAGAAACGATGTCAAACAACAGCATGTGCTACTGTCCTCATTGGGTACCTACCAGCCACCAAGCTCGACTGCTTCACCTCTGATGAACGTTCCCTTGCTGGATACCGACTATTTCATCACTGTTTGTCCCTGCTGCTGGAGCCACTCGTTGTGGCTGGTCAGGATGGTGTAGACATGGTTTGTGCTGACTCACTGGTTCGACGAGTGTACCCCATACTTGCCGCCTATGTTGCAGACTTCCCTGAACAGTGCCTGGTCGCTTGCTGTAAAGAGAACCGTTGCCCTAAATGTTTGGTTGCAGCTGATGAGCGGGGCAACCCACTAAATTCATTGATGAGAGACCCGGATTCGACAAAGGAGACGCTGGAGAGACGGAGGAGTGGTCAGCACCCTGGAGAATTTGATGAGCATGGGCTGCGCGCCGTGTATAAACCTTTCTGGGCAGACTTACCCCACACAGACATTTTCATGGCGTTCACACCCATCAGCAAACTACCGGTTTTGGATACAAGATTCCCACAGCGACACAACTAGCACAGCCCCACAGTGGTACAGCGCACAGAGCGCACAGAGTGACAGTGCGGCACAGTCTCGCACAGTGCACAGGGTCAGGCGATAAAATGTGATGTAAATTATAGATTAATATCAATATCTTGCTGGTCTTCATCAAAACACGAGATCTCGGAGAATGCATTTCACAGCGTG